AAATAAAACAAACAAAATCAGGAGTGAGAGAGGAAAATATGGTCAGGGAAGGCTTCATTAAAGAGGTTGGAGTTGATCTGCACCTCAGTGAAAAGGTAGAACTTCAAGAGGAGAAGGATAAATGTCATACATAGGGCATTTTTTTAAGTTAAATAATCTGTTCAATAAGACCAAGATATGTGAAATACATTTTGAGGTAATTTCCACCAAAACGGTAAACAAAAATAAAACATAAAAAAATCTTCAATTACTTGAATTTAACTTCATAGAAGTATAAAAAAAAAGATATTAATATATTAATACAGCTCTGTATGCTTAAAAATAAGCATTTTATTTTATTATAGACTTTTAAAGGAGGGGGGTTACTTTTAATAAGTTCTATAGAAGAGATCAAACCTTTTTTTAAAAGTATCTTGAAGAAAGCTTTATTCAGTCACAATTTGAAATATCCAAAATGTTATGTTTTGTTACTTGTGAAAGAAGCTCCTCAAAACACAATATAACCTAATAAACTCTCTTCATATTTTACATGTAAATGACAACCAGAATTTGAATTCAGATCTATCAAATTCCAAAACCAGAGCTACACTTGCATCCACTGCTATGTTAACAATAACTAATTTTACTTCTGATTTTAAAATCGAAAATGTATTCATCACAAAGTGTAGGACAGGAGGAAGAAATTAGTAATTCTCAAGTTATATAACTACTACAAAACTGAGAGAAACATATATATATACATACATACATATATATATTTAGACAGAAATACTCTTAAGTGGCTTTTGTTGTTGTTCAGTGAATATTAAGCTGTTTTAATAAGATGCTGCTCTTGAATTAGCATATGACAAACAGGGTTTTAGAGTAACAGTAGTACCTCAACCTATTCACATATATCTTTGGGTGCTGGGCTACCTACTGGCCCTTTCTTCTTAAGGACCTTCACTCCTCATTTTTTCATGACTTATCCTCTCTCTCCAAGCATATTTCCTTTGTATCTTTCTAAACACTCCAGAAAGAGAAAATAGAGGGCATGCCAAATTTCTTTGTTTTTACCTAGAAAAGCTCTAACCTCTTTCCTCCCATTTCTCTAAGGATAAGCATTCAAGTACTTTCTCATAAAATAAACGTTCTGTTATGGAATATATACAGGGTGAACTAAACCCTAAATTATTTTATCAATAATTATTTTAAACTTTTATTTAATATTATTGAGATTTGAATTTTAGAATGGATTCCTTAAAAATGATCCATAATAAAGGGAAAAAGGCAGTAGGAATACACATAGTTCTTATAAGACATTCAAATGCACTTGCCTCAAAATAAATACATTAACTCATTTTTTAAAAATCCATTCATTCAACCAATAATTGAGTGCCTAATGTGTGCCAGGCACTGTTCTAGGTACTTGTAAAACTGTTTCTTTAAAAATCCCCTTTCCTCAGGAAGCTTACCGCTTAGTGGGAGGAGAAAGATAATAAACATAATAAGTAAAGATACTGTTAGAAAGTGATAAATGCTGGGGGGGGGGGGGGGGGCAGAACAGAGTAAGGAAGAACTCCAGGATATTGTGGCAACCTGCAATTTAAAAAGGATGGTCAGAGAGGGTTAAGGAAAGTGTCATTTGAGTAAAAACTTGAAAAAGGTGAGGGAGTCAGCCATGGTGATACTGGGGTAAGAGCATTCCAGGCACAGAAAGCAGGGCAAAGGTCCTGGAGTATCCTGGGACAAGAAAGCTGAAAAGGCTAAAGGGAAGCCAGCAGCGGGTAGAGTAGGTGAGTGTGGAGATTTATGTGTGGGGGAGCAGAGGGAACAGATTATATAGGGATTATGGGACACTGTAAGGAATTTGGCTTTTACGTTGAATGAAATGGGTATCCATAGAAGTTTGAGCAGGGTGTCATGATCTGTTGTATCAGAATCACTTAGCTGGCTGCTGAGTTAAGAACAGACTTATTGGGCCCTGGCCGGTGTGGCTCAGTTAGCTGGGTGTTGTCCCATGCACCATGCTGGTGCTGGTTGATTCCTAGTCAGGGCATGTGCCTGGGCTGCGGGCTCCATCCCCGGTGGTGTGGGGTCGTGCAGGGTGCAATCAATGTCCATGTGGATGTCTCTCTCAACCTCTCACCCTTCCTCTCTTTCTAAAATCCAATAAAAAAATCTTTTTTTAAAAAAGGAATAGACTTATTGGGAAGGCAAAAGAGACCAGTTAGGAAGCTACAAAAAAAGCCCAAGAAAGAAATATGTACTTCCTATAAACTTTGACAGTAATGGAACACTTTTATGCAAAATAAAAAAATCTGTCAGATCCTGCTAATAAGAAATAACCAGAAGTTAGAGCTCTTGATATATATATATATATATATACACACACACACACACACACACACACACACACACACACATTGTGCAACACAATCACAAAAATCTCTTCACTACAGAAAAATACCAGTGTGTTCCTTTATAATCATCTATTTCCTTTATGAAAAAAAATTTAATTCTGTTGCAGCTGAGACTATCCTTTCAAGAAATTACTCAAAAAAAAAAATAATTAGCCAATATTCCTGTAACTCTGCTAATTATATACTATTTAAGGGGAGGGGAGTTACTTCTGTCCACTGAATATATAAATAATTTACCTTGGATTGGTGTGAAATAAATCATTCTTGAAAATCTTATTTCCTTCATGGGGAACAGAATTTTTTCTACTAAAGTTTCTCTTTTTATGTTCCTATTTTTAAAATAAATTCTTTTCTTTCAATTGATACCAACCAAATTTGCATATCAGCATCTGGGTCATTTATTTAAGGAAAGGACAACCACAAAAAACTCCCACTGTCACAAATAACATGTTTCAAAAAATGTTCCTCCATGATACCAAAAAATAAACCCCCAAAACCTCTCATTATCATCTAGTCCTCCTGGAAAAAGAAAATACAATTCTCAACACTATGTTATCATAAGTATAAAAGGGGCAATAAGTCAAAGATATTCAATTTGCCTGGAAAGGGGCTAGAAAACACGAAAGGAGATTTTGAAATAAAAATCCATTCCACTACAAAAATTTGCTCATGAAACTGAAATAAGCACATACATCATCTTACAGTATTTTGAGGTAAACAGAAAGTGGAATATAAACAATTTACTTGCTTCAAAGACTCAGAAAGACAGCCAGATTTAGCTTGTGTTTTCTAAATTAAATCTTGATGGTTGAAAGTATTACATAGGTCCCCTTTTTTCCCCCTTAGCTTGTATTTTTTAAAGAGACTTTCCCTGTGGCAATTCTTGGGAAGAAATGAGCGTGTAAATTTACAAAACATAATACGAAATTCAAATTCATTAATTCCTTCGACATATAAGTGCGTTTCTGTGCCAAAAAGTGCACAAAGCACTGGGCACATGCACGCTGTTCTCAAGTCTTATATATAGTTTTCACGTGTCCCAGTTACTGAGTATCTACTAGGAACCAGATGCTGGGGATACGACAGCACACAGGAGACAGACACAGGGCCCCTACCTGCACGCAGTGTCCACTGCAGAAAGAGGGAAATGCCTCAAGGATGAGCCATCATCTAACAAACAAGGACAGGAACACGCAGGTAAGTGCTCCGTGTGCTGTGGATGGACGTGTGGAGGGTTCGGGAGGCCACCAACAAGGGAGGGAGGGGAAGGCAGAGCCTCCAGATCGGCGGTGACAGGAGAGCCGAGGCCTCCAAGAGGATTAGATGTTCACCTGGCCGACCTTGGGGGCAGGGCTCCGCGCACAGGGAGCAGCTGGAGCAGAGGCTCGGGAAGCCCGGGATACAGACCGTGAGGTCAGCCGTGGAGGCTCCCGACGCCACAGTCAGGACTGGCCTGTATTGGCATTTAGGAAGAGCCCCCGAAGGGTTTTCTGAAAAACTAGCTTGTGTGATCAGGTTTTTCTGGTGTCGTGAGACACTGGTTTACACAGGAATGAGAAAAGAATAACACCAGGTAATGATGTCACCATGAAACAACAAAGGAGCCTGTCCAATTAGAGAACTAACCCCCTCCCCCTCAGGAAAATAAATAAATAAATAAATAAGCCACTTAACTCTGCAAGTCCTTCTGGGAAAAAAAGTTTTTAACCAACATCACTTAAAACCGAAGAAGCGGAGGAAAGGTTTGTTTGTATATATTATGAATAATAACATCGACATATCTACCTTGCGTTTTCTCCAGAGGGCACAGCTCTTTATTAAATTGTGGAAACACACCAGGGGGTGCTGACTGTGGTCCCAAAAGCACTGAAACTCTTCAGAAGAAAGTCTTTGGTACCAAGGGGGAACCACGAGGAACAGAAGGTATGTTTCAAGGCACGGGTAAAGGTTCCCAAAGTTCAAGAGAACCAACTTTTATTAAGTCAAAGCGTTTCAAAGGTGTCACGGGGTGGAGCCGAGGAGGAGGGGTTTAAAACTTAATAAAAAAAAATATGTCAACAACTAACTCTTTAAAAAAACAAACCAACCACCACCAAGTAACTCTTGATCCGAGGGGACTAAGATGCCCCCTTCACACTCTTCTCCCAAGGAGGAGCCATGAACACCCACCAGACCCAGTGAACACAGACAGGGGTGAGCACCCATCGCAACATAACCGGGTGGGGGGCACCCACCCGACCCGCCCGCCCAGACCCCAGTCAGCGGTGAGGCGACAACACCTCGATTCAGGCATAAAGGCAGGAAAATGTCATTCCCAACTCCACCAGCCGCCGGCCCCGGGGCCGAGCTCACCGCCTCGGATCCCTCCCCTCAAGGACGGAGCGCCAGCCCCGCGCCGCGCCTGGGCAGAGGTGAGGGAGCCCCCATTTCTGGGAGCAGGGAGCCATCGCCCTCGGCGACAGCCCCGGGCGGGTCACCGCCCCCAGGCCAGGCCCCGCTAGGTCACGGGCGCTGACAGCCCCGAAGCCCCCTCCCCCTCGCCGACGCCGCCTCTGCTCGGCCCCTCGCACCCGCGAGCCCGCACACACCCTCCCCTACCTGATATGGCGGCGGCGGCTCCTGGTCCGGCTCCGTCCCTTCGCCGAAACTAGCCCGGTCGGACTGAGACTCGTGGAGCAGAGAGATGTCATCCGAAGTGGGGGATTTGAGGCAGTTCCCCATCTTCCGAGGCTAGGGTGTGTGATCTGGGGGTGAGGGGAGGGTGGGGGGTAAGCAGTGGCGGGGTCTTTCGTCAGCTCCGCGGTCAGCCGCGGTCAGCGAGGAGGGGTCGGCGGCAGGCCGGGGATCAGGCGGCGGCTCCCCCGCCCCCCGGCGCCGCCAAAGCGCCGCTCATGCCAGCCCCCGGGGCGGGGGCTCAGGGCTGGGCCGCGGGCGCCGCTGGGGTCGCGGCAGGAGCCTCCAGCGAGGCGGTGATGTGGTGGGGGGGGCGGGCGGGGAGACCAGACACTTCCCCACCCCGCCCCCCCGCGGGGCGGCGGCGGCCACGGAGCCGCTGGGTCTAATCCAGGTCAGGAGCAGGGGGCGCGGCCGTCGCGGCTGCCTCAGCTGCTGCCTCAGCTGCCGCTGCCCCTGCAGACGCCGGAGCCGCGGCCGCGGGCCTCATCCTACTCCGCCTCCGAGCGGCGGCGGCGGCGGCGGCGGCGGCCAAAACGAGGCCAGCTGCGGCCTGCGTCACGCCGCCGTGCGTGCCCTGGTCCCGCCCCCGGCGCCGGAGGCGTGGCAGCTCCGGCCGCGCTTCCCCCGCCCTCCGCTGCTCTCGGGGCTGCGTCTCTTCCTGCTGACTCTCAGGTTCGGTCCCCGACTCCGAGACCTTTGAAGTCTCCTCCCCACAGCCCCTCTCCCTCCCCGCTTGTCTCGGCTCTTACTTGTGCTCTGTCCTGTCCCGAGTCTTCTCACCTCCTTCTGCCCGGTGATCCTTGTATAAACTTAGAGCAGAATGTATCACTCCCATAGTTAAATGGTGAATGCCCCACCCCCCTTTATCCTTTCAAGTCCAAACTCACCAATGAACCTTTCCTATCTATCCAGTCACTTCCTTATCCCCTACGTCACAGCCAGAGAGATTCTTCCTCCAGTTGCATATCTCAGATTGTTCTGTGTCTTTGCTTTCTCACCATCATAGTCCAAGCCACCATCATTTCTCACCCACACTATTGCAGTGCTCTCAAAGCTGTTCTCCCTGCTTTCACCGTTGCCCCCATCCAATCCATTATAGGCACAGTTGAATTATCTTTTTAAATGTAAGTCTGATGACATTCTGTTTAAAACCTTCAATAGCTTCCCAATACTGTTATGACTAAATTATTAATTCTCAAATGGTTTAAAAATCTTCCTACCTCCCTAAACTCATTAGCAGCATTGTCTCCTCACATATTCTAAACTCTAGGCTGTCTAAATACTTTCCCTTATCTAGAAAACTGTTCCCTTTGGTCGAGGCCTTTACTCATGTTCTTCTTTTTTTTTTTTAAGTATACTTTTATTGATTTCAGAGAGGAAGGGAGAGGGAGAGAGAGATAGAAACATCATTGATAAGAGAGAATCATTGATTGGCTGCCTCCTGCATGCCCCATACCTGGGACCAAGCCTGCAACCCAGGCATGTGCCCTGACTGGGAATCAAACAGTAGCCTTCTGGTTCATAGGTCGACACTCAACCACTGAGCCATGCTGGCCCAAGCTACTCATGTTGTTCTTTAACAGAAACTCATTCCAGACCTTCTGCCTCTTTCAGGCTAATCATTATCCCCACTGAGCCTTCTTGGACCCAACTGCAATTCTCCCAGGAAACCTCTCCTGACCCTCCAGTCTGGGTTAGTCTCCTCTGTGGCTTTTCTCTGTCACAGTGTGATCATGCTGCGTTATCTGTCCCTCCTCTGTGCAAGGCCTGGCACATTGCCTAAGGTACAGTAGGCTCGTTCTTGGTTGAATGAACAGAACTCAAAAAGCAATGAATGTATGCAAAAGAAGGCAACAAGAAAGTTGAGAGTTCTCCTAATATTCACTCAACAAGAAGACAAGAGGCGGGTCTTCACTCCCTTTCTTTTATGCACCATTTCCTGATTTCATTTATTTCCTTATTTAAATTTATTTATGTATTTATTTATTCTCCAGAACCTATGCTAAGCACTAGGAAAACTTATTTACCAGACCTGGCTTGTTGCTAATGGAGCTCAGAGTTCCCCTGGGAAGACAAACAGATGAGCCCTCTGCCTCACCCACCAAGGAGTTGTAGAAGGCCTAGAGGAGAGTGATTAGACCATTTGGGTGAGGACCTGAAAGGATTCTTGGAATCCCTATTCTATAAAATCACTATCTGACTTAAATGCACTCATATCCCATGTTAAATATAACCCTCTTTCTGTGTTGGGGTCCAGCCCCAGCAGGTCCAGGGGTTCCCAAAGGTGTGGTCGGAGTCTTTGAAGAAGGAATGACACCGAAACAGCGTTCATATGATCAGCATAGCCAGCTTCTCCCTTTATTGTCCCGTTACCTCTGTATTTATACCATTTGATCCTATAAGCATGCCTCTATAATCACATCATGGTATGTTTTGGGTAACTTTCTACAGTTCCTTGTTTCATTTCCATAGTTTCTTATCTGACCTTTGCCAAAAATCCCATCTCCATCTAGTTCTGTTGATTTTAATCCTACCCATTCTATTCCAAGGGTGTTATCTCCATTCCAAGGTCACTACTCTACTGTTCTGTTAAGCTACAAGGAAGTAACTGAAGGAGATTATCCTAAGTAAAGATTATGTAGTTTAAGCGTGATTGTTCCTAGTTAAGGTGGCACTTAGTTAAGGTGTTTTACTAATTTATTCCCTTCATTAGTCCTGTTAATCCCTAACTCCAGGGAAAAATCCCCACACAGGGAAACAACCTTTCTCGGGGAGGTGGTCCTGGTTAAAACACATAGCGCTAAGAGGGGGAGCAAACATATGCCATATACACCAGATCCCTTGAAACATATGCTGGGCAGATGTTTCTTCCCTTCAGCGACTATGTCAAGCAGCAAAGTGGACCAGCTTCCAGCATTGCTGTATGCCCTCTTCTCCAAGACTTGCCTTCTTTCCCATTAATAGTTCCCACCTAAATAGGTGTATAATTTAGGCCATGTTTGCATCAGCATCTTTCACACATCCCCCACAATGATTGCTTAATTCTCTCTAGCTTGGAAAAATGAAATCATTGGATCCTTTGGGCAGAAAATTTCAGGCACAGGCCTCTTTCCCCCCATTGCCATTTTCCTTGTATCCTCTGAACTATTGCAACAGCTTCTTAAGAATGCCCCTGCTTCTGAATCATTAATCTATTTTCCACACTACTGCCATGAGAAATGTGATCAGAGAGCATTCATAGACTTGTGGTTCAGAAATTTTGCATGGCCTTGAGGCTTTGCACCATTTAGTTCCATCCTTATTTCCAGCTCCAATGAGGCATCCTTACACCCCAGCCACATCACACTACTTGCCATGCCCTGTTTTCACTATGCTTTTCCACCTCTGACTTTTGACATGCTATCCCTTCTGTTGAAATTCAGCCATCTTTTAAGACCACTTTTTAAAATTATTTTTTAATTGATTGATTTGTTTGAGAGGGGTGGGAGAGGAAGAGAGAGAGAATGGAAGATCAAATTATTGTTCCACTTATTTATGCATTCATTGGTTGATTCTTGAATGTGCCATGACTGGGAATCAAACCCACAACCCTGGCACAGTGGGACTACACTCCAGCCGAGCCACCCAGCCAGGGCTAAGACCACTTTCTTTGCACAGCTGTCCTTGATTTCACTTAACTGGAATATATGTAACAATATAAAATAAGTGGGATCTGTTATATTGTGTATATCTACATATCATAAATGAATTTCAATGTAATTTTTAATAAATATAATCATAGCTGCCATTTATTAGCTTAAGCCAGGCACATTAAAGCCCTGAAAGGTACATATTGGTATTCTTGTTTTGTAGGAACAGAAACATGGCTTCACATTGAGGCAGGTCAGTAAGCCAGGATAAGTGGAATAGGGAAACAGACAGATAGTTAAATGGCCAAGCAGTTTATAGCCATTTAGTAAATTGCAAAATCCTATTTTCCCTAACCAAGGACAGTTAAGAGTAAATGGTTTACACTTCTGCTCTCCAACCAGAGGGTAAGTAGCTTAAATCTCCCTTCTCAGAGAGATAGGCAGCAGAAATTCATTAGTGCCATTTGTGCCAACCACACCCAAGACAATGAAGTTAAGAAAATAAACCAAATTTTGGCACATCAGCATAAAGCTGAGGAATATACTATTGAGATCCTCCCCAAGACCTCCGCTAAACTCCCAAACTTTAAAACCCTCAAAGAAGGCCCCTGCACATGCTTTCCCTCTCCTGAGCAAGTGTTTTTCTCTATTGAATCATTAAGGGTTTCCCACGAGAGTTGCAACTGGGACGGGGGGGGGGGGGGGGGGGGCCGGGCAATGAGCAGTAGCAGTTCATATCTGAACCTGTCTCCAAGGCCACCTCTTCTCTGACTTTTCAGTAAGCCAACAGCAACCCCACCTTGGCTCACTTTTTTTCCTATCATGTCTCTAGAGAGCCAAAGCAGCCCCACCAAGGCTCTCTCCTGTTGGTTGTTGGCTGCTAGTGATTTATTGATTGATTTTAAAGAGGAAAGAAGGGAGAGGAACATCAATGTGAGAGAAAAATATCAATTGATTGCCTCCCATATGAACCCCAACCAGGAATCGAACCAGCAACCTTCCCATGCACAGGACAATGCTCCAACCCAACTAAGTCACACCAGCCAGGGCCTGTTGGCTTCTTTTATCCTAAGCCCTCCCTTGTTTCACTATCCCCAGCTTTAATGAATATACTCTCAAAGTCACCTGGACTTGTGTTGTGAAATCTTTCCCACACAAAGTAAAAAAACCCACATACTGTAGGCTGACCAGAGGCAGACCCACTCTGGGTCTGGTTCCAGTCTGGTAACAACATAGCTATTCAGTAGTAAAGCCAGGATTTGAATCATATACAAGTTGCCTTTATTAGGCTGTGGGAATGGACTACATCTTTTTTCATCATGATATTCCTCCTTCAGTGTGTAAAAACAAGGGGATGGGAAAGATTTATCTTGAATGCCTTTGACATCCACATGTACCTTTGTAAGGAGGTAGCTATTCAATGATCTCTCTTTCTAACCCAGCTTTAGAAAGGACCTCTTGGGAAGTGCCCTGTAGACCAGAGTGTGAACTAATCACAAAACATAATTTAAAATCGGAAATAGTAACCAGGGCTATTGCAGTGACCAAGACTCTCCTTAACCTAACTCTGCCAGGCTCCTCTAAGCCTTAAAGGCCCTGGCCTTGGGTTCTGTGCTTGACCCACTTATTCCAGTTTAGCCAAAATCTCCCACCCTAGGTATCTGACCACCTTGACCTGACTTGAGCAAAAATCCTACCAAGTAGGTTTGGCTACAATTCCCCTTATCAACAAAGTTTCCTCCTAGTAATTTAGCACCCACTGACTCCCCACCTTTTTCTTTACCATAAATCCCCACTTGTTCTTTTTTTAAAAAATATATTTTTATTGATTTCAGAGAGGAAGGGAAAGGAGAAAGAGATAGAAACATCAATGACGAGAGAGAATCATCTATTGGCTGCCTCCTGTGTGCACCACACTGGGGATCAAGCCCGCATCCCAAGTATGTGCTCTGACTAGGAATTGAACCATGACCTCCTGGTTCATAGGTCAACATTGAGCCATGCTGGCTGGGCCCCATTTCTTCTTTTTGCATTCACAATGGAGTGCAGTTCTGTACTGAGGTCTCTCTTCCCCTACTGCAGTAGTTCCTGAATAAAATTTGCCTTCACCACTTTAACTTCTGTCTGGCTCTGGTTTTCTCTGACAGTAGGCCTAAAGCAAAATCAGATATGAGAGCCAGATTTTCAAAAAGAATAGACTTTATTTCTTAGAGCAGTTTTAGATTCACATCACTATGAAGCAGAAGGTACGGAGATGTACCATTTACAGCCTGTCCCCATACATGCATAGCTTCCCCATTATCAACATTCTGCACCTGAATGATGCATTTGTTACAATGATGAATCTACAAGGACACATCAATATCACAAAATCCTTGCTTACATTAGTTTCACCCTTGGTGTTGTACATTCTATAACATTGTTGTGGGAGAGAACATTGATTGGTTGCTTTCTTAGGTGCTCTGCCTAGGGATAGAACTCACAAATTAGGTATGTATGTGCCATGGCCAGGAATCAAACCTGCAACCTTTCAGTATGTGGGACAACATTCCAATTAGCTGAGGCACACCAGCCAGAGTCCTTTTTCATTTTTGATGTTAGTAATGTGTGTCCTCTCTCTTTTTTTCTTAGCCTGGTTAAAGGCTTATCACTTTCAGTGTTTACTAGAGGCCCAGTGCACAAATTATTGCACGGATGGGGTCTTGGGCTGGCCTGCGGAGATCGGGCTCCAGCTTGCGCCTCCAGCCTCACAGCCCTGCAGCGCCGCCTGGCACTCCACCTTGGCCTGGTGCCGCCCCCTCACCTATTCCACCATCCTACCTGAGGGGTGATTAATCAGGGCTGGGTGGCAGTCCCAGCCCTTGCCGCTGGTTGCTGTCTGCAAGGCTATCAGTTGGGCTATTAGTTGGGCGATCAGTTGGGGCCAGGCCCCCTGCCAGGCTCCCTCAGTGCCTGGGAGCTGGGCAGCAGCCCGCCCCTCTGCCACTGCCGCTGCAGGGCGATTGGGCCCACGCTTGCACCTGCCTTGGCCTGGCACCACCCACTCACCTGCTCCACCATCCTGCCGCAGTCCCGCTCTTGTCAGGACCCATTGGGGCCAGCAGCGCCTCCACTGCCACCTGTGTCACCGATGCCCACCATGTTTCACACCGCCCCCCAGTGGTCAGCACATGTCATAGGAAGCAGTTGGACTCCTGGTCTCCTGGTCAAATGACCGATGGCCCGAGGGGACAATTTGCATATTAGGCTTTTATTATATAGGATAGTATATTATTGTGGTTTTGTTTTTAATATTTTTAAAATCTACTTTTATTGATTTCAGAGAGGAAGGGAGGGAGAGAAACATCAATGAGGAGAGAGAATCATTGCATGCCCCACACTGGGGATCGAGCCCCAACTTGGACATTTGCCCCAACCAGGAATAGAATTTCCTGGTTCAGAGGTTGACAATCAAACACTGAGCCACACCAGCCAGACTATCTTGTAGTTTTTATTTGCATTTACCTAAAGATCAGTGAGCTGAGCATCTTTTCATATGCTTATTGGTCACTCTTATAGCTTCTTTGGAAAAATGTCTATTCAAGTCCTTTTCCTATTTTTGAATTGTGTTGTGTCGTTGAGTTTTAGAAGTTCTGTATACTTTGGATATTAAGCCCTAACCAGGTATATGATTTGCCAGTATTTTCTCTCATTTTGTGGTTTTCCGTTTTACTCTGTTGATAGTGTCTTTTGTTGCACAATTTTAAAAAGGTTTCATAAAGTCCAAGTTGTCTATTTTTTCTTTTGTTATCTATGTCCCTGGTGTCATAACTAAGAAATCGTTGCCAAGTCCAGTGTTATGAAGCTTTTTTAATATATATATATTTTAGAGAGGAATGAAGATGGAGAGAGAAATAGAAACATCAGTGATGAGAGAGAGTCATTCATCAGCTGCCTCCTGCACGCTCCACACTGGGGATAGAGATCACAACCCAGGAAGTACCCTAACGGGAATCAAACTGAGACCTCCTGGTTCATAGGTCTATGCTCAACCACTGAGCCATGCCAGCTGGGCTGAAACTTTTCACCTACATTTTCTTCTAAGAATTTTATTGTTTAATTCTTACATTTAGGGCCTTGATCTATTTTGAGCTAATTTTTTATGGTGTTCGCTACACAATTTCATTATTTTATGTATCTATTTTTTTTCCAGCACCATTTGTAAAAAAAATTGTCCTTTCCCCATTAAATGGTCTAGATGCCCTTGTAAAAAAAAAAAAAATCATTGATTACATACATGAGGGTTTATTTCTGAGCTTTCTATTTTATTCCATTGGTCTATATGGCTGTCTTTATGCCAAGACCACACTGTTTTGTTTACTCTAGCTATGTAGTAATTTTGAAATAAGAAGTGTGAGCTCCCCAGTTTTGTTTTTCTTTTTCTGGATTATTTTGGCTATTTAGGGTCCCTTGAAATTCCAAATAAATTTTAGGGTGGTTTATTCTTTCTGTGAAAAAAAAAAAAAAGTAGTTGGGATTTTGATAGGGATTATATTGAATCTGTAAATTGTTTTGGGTAATATTTACACTTTGTGAATATTAAGTCTTCCATTCCATGAACATGAGATGTATTTCCATTTATTATGTCTTCTTAGTTTCTTTCAGGGATGTTTCATAGTTTTCATTGAATTAGTGTTTTAGTCCTTAGTTAAGCTAATTCTAACTATTTTATTCTTTTTGTTGCTATTGTTAAATAATTATTTTTGTAATTTCCTTTTTAAACTGCTCATTGTTAGTATATAGAAATGCAACTGATATTTGTGTTGACTCTGTATCCTGCTACTTTGGTGAATTTATTAATTAGTTCTAACAGTGTTTTTTTTTTTAAAAATTTAGGGTTTTCTACTTATAAGATTATATCATCTGCAAATAGAGATAATTTTACATTATCCTTTGGATGCCTCTATTTCTTTTTCTTACCAAATTGATCTGGCTAGGAGAACCAAGATGGCAGCATAAAGAATAATATACAGAGATTCAACAGTAGACTAGAGGATCCCAAGAATCAAGTCAAAGCTTTGAAATACGAGGAAGCAAAAAACACCCAACCGGAAAAGCAAAAATAAAAAATAATCCAAAAATATGAAGTTAGTGTAAGGAGCCTCTGGGACAACTTCAAGCGTACCAACATCCGAATTATGGAGATGCCAGAAGAAGAAAGAGAGCAAGATATTGAAAACCTATTTGAAGAAATAGTGACAGAAATCTTCCCCTCCCTGGTGAAAGAAATAGACTTACAAGTCCAGGAAGTGCAGAGAACCCCAAACAAAAGGAATCCAAAGAGGTCAACCCCAAGACACATCATAATTAAAATGCCAAGGGCAAAAGACAAGGAGAGAATCTTAAAAGCAGCAAGAGAAAAACAGTCAGTTACCTACAAGGGAGCAGCCATACGACTGTCAGCTGATTTCTCAACAGAAGCTATGCAGGCCAGAAGGGGGTGGCAAGAAATATTCAAAGTGGCCCTAACCGGTTTGGCTCACTGGATAGAGCTTCAGCCTGCGGACTTAGGGTCCCAGGTTCAATTCCTGTCAAGGGCATGTGCCTTGTGGGCACATCCCCAGTAGGAGGTGTGGCAGGAGGCAGCTGATCGATGCTTCTCTCTCATTGATGTTTCTAACTCTCTATCCCTCTCCCTTCCTCTCTGTTAAAAATCAATAAAAAATATATATCTAAAAAAAAGAAATATTCAAAGTGATGAATAGCAAGAACCTACAACCAAGATTACCCAGCAAAACTATCATTTAGAATTGAAGTTCATATAAATAGCTTCACAGATAAGAAAAAGCTAAAGGGGTTCATTACCACTAAACCAGTATTATATGAAATGCTGAAGGCTATTCTTTAAGAAGAGGAACAGGATGGAAAAGGTAAAGATAAAAAATTATGAACAAAGTGACAACAAATACATATCTATCAACAAGTGAATCTAAAAATCAAATGAATAAAAAATCTGATGAACAGAATAAACTGGTGAATGTAATAGAATCGGGGGCATGGAAAGGGAGCAGACTGACAGTTCTCAGGGGGAAGAGGGTGTGGGGGTGTGTGGGAAGAGTTGGACAAAGATCTTACACCTATGGATGAGGACAGTGTGGGGGTGAGGGCCTGGGGTGGGGTGGGAACTGGGTGGAGGGGAGCTATGGAGGGAATAAAAGAGGAACATCTGTAATAATCTGAACAATAAAGATTAAAAAAATCGCTCTGGCTAGAACTTCCAGTACTATGTTGAAAGTGGGTATTCTTGCCCTAGCTGGTTTGGCTCAGAGGATAGAGCATCAGCCTGCAGACTGAAGGGTCCTAGGTTCGATTCCAGTCTAAGGGCACATGCCCAGGTTTCGGGCTCGATCCCCAGTAGGGGGTGTGCAGGAGGCAGCCAATCAATGGTTCTCTCATCATTGATATTTCTCTCTCCCCCTCTCCCTTCCTCTCTGAAATCAATAAAAATAAAAATATTAAAAAAAGAAAGTGGGTATTCTTACCTTTTCCTGATCTTAGAGGAAAAGCTTTCAATTTTTCACCATTGAAAATATGATGTTAACTTTGAGCCTTGAGGACTCTATTAGAGAAAGCTGGAGAGGCCTGGAGAAGATCAATGGTGAGGACTTGCAGAACAATCAAAGAGTTGTTATTGAAAGGTAGAGGAAGGTTTGGCAAATGGTTACTTGTGGTAACATGGAAACTAGAAAGGTACCTAATGAACTTGAGGACCTGGCTGGTGAATTTCCAGGCATAAAGTGTCATCTGTTGTTTTTTTGTTTGTTTTTTCGTGTTTTTTTTTTTTTTTTCTAGCTACCCATGATAAAATATAAGAAGAGAGAGGTAAACTGAAGAAGGGTCCAGGATAGTATTTCCAGACAGCACAAGGATCCCAAAGGAACAAATGGCCTCATGGTGAAAATCAAACCCAAGGTGCTGCCAGCAAAATGAGATCACAGGGTAAAGACAAGCCAAGGATGCAACTGTAAAATCTTGTGTTAAGACCTCAGAAAGATTTAAGGCAATGTCTCATAAATCCTTTAAAAATTATTCCTAGGAGGGAAAAATTCTGAGGATCTTAATGCTGTGCCTCATGGATCTTCTGTGTTAAACAATAAGGTTTCTAAGTCTTCATGGTGTGATTCTACAGCAGCTTCACAGGGGGCCCAAGGTTGAGAAAGGCTATCTGAAAGAGAATTTGTGGGTGTGTCTCTTGGATAATGAGTAGAGTATAATTTGATACACAGAAAACTCCAGATTTTAAAAGGATTACATTAGCTTGGCCTGAAGCTAGCAGAGACAGTACAAAATTAAAAGAGATCTTTGGACTCCTAACCTACTATGGGCAGAGAGAAGGCTGAGAAACTTACTCAACTATAAAAATGGGCAATTCTTTATGGAAAAAGAAGGATGACTCACAGGGCAGAACAAAAATCATAGAGACCCATTCCCAAGGAGCATAACTAGATCTCAATTAAGGAACTGGCAACATGTGCCTAGCTACCTTTCAGAATTTCTATGCTCCAGTGATTGCTATGTGCTTCCATTCTCCCTACCTACCACCACCACCAATCTCTTTTGAACATCAGTGTCTGTTGCAGTTATCTTATGCCTATCTCACCATTGTAGTCAAGAGTGTGAAGGGGAAGGTATTTCCTTAGTTCGAAGATCTTTATGATGAAAGGAACAATACTCAAGAAGGTACACTCTAGGAGTTATATCTCAGGAGCCTCATCCACACCAGGAACTTATTCAGATGATGAGGTCATGGACTTTAAAATCTGATGCTACAATGAGCTGAGTTTGGGGGGATAGATACTTTGAAGAGGTGAATGTATTTTTTCCCATTTTTTATTTCTTTTTGTGTGTGTGTGAATGTATTTTTAAAAATTGTAAATAATTTATAGCCAAATGGCAGACAGTGACAGATAAAGATGGCTATAAATTCTTTGATCCTCCTGTGATTGACAGGTGGGATGAACCTCTCCTTCTCTGGAGTCTGGGTGGGCTCTATGATTGTTTTGACCAATAGATTTCTGCAGAAGTGGCACTGTGCTTATTACAAGTCCAAGTCTTAAGAGACTAGTAATTCTCACTTCCTGTCTCCAGGGGATATTTTCTCGTTGAGCCCTGCCAACCATATTCTCTGCTGGAGAGACCACATTGAGACATTCTGGAGAGAAGAGGGGACCAAATGAAGTCAGCTTTCTAGTCATTCCTTCCAAGGCTCAACGCATGTGAGTGAAGCTAAATGAATACCTCTAGGTTACCTAAATTGACTCTGTGTGGCACAGAAGGGGCTAGCCTAGCCTTGACTGGATTCCCAACTTACAAAATTGTGAGAAATAAAATGTTTGTTGATCTAAGCCACTAAAGTTTGGGACTACTCCAGATGGAATTTAGGCATTTTTTTAAGTGACTAGAGGAACATAGACTATGTGTAATTATGTATTTAATAAATATTTTAATGAGTTTTTTTAAATAAATCTTTATTGTTCAGATTATTACAGTTGTTCCTCTTTTTTTCACCCAATAGCTCCCCTCCACCTGGTTCCCACCACACCCTCTGCCATTACCGCCTCCCCCCCATTGTCCTCCTCCATAGGTGTACGATTTTTGTCCAGTCTCTTCCCGCACCTCCACACCCGCTTCCCCCTGAGAATTGTCAGTCCACTCCATTTCTATGCCCCTGATTCTATTATATTCACCAGTTTATTCTGTTCATCAGATTTTTTATTCACTTGAATTTTAGATCACTTGTTGATAGATATGTATTTGTTGTTCATAATTTTTATCTTTACCTTTTTCTTCTTCTTCCTCTTCTTAAAGAATACCCTTCAGCATTTCATATAATACTGGTTTGATGGTGATGAACTCCTTTAGCTTTTTCTTATCTGTGAAGCTCTTTATCTGACCTTCAATTCTGAATGATAGCTTTGCTGGGTAAAGTATCTTGGTTGTAGGTTCTTGGCATTCATCACTTTGAATATTTCTTGCCACTCCCTTCTGGCCTGCATAGTTTCTGTTGAGAAATCAGCTGACAGTCGTATGGATACTCCCTTGTAGGTAACTAACTGTTTTTCTCTTGTGGCTTTTAAGATTCTCTCTTTGTCTTTTGCTCTTGGCATTTTAATTATGATGTGTCTTGGGGTGGTCCTCTTTGGATTCCTTTTGTTTGGGGTTCTTTGCGCTTCCTGGACTTGTAAGTCTATTTCTTTCACCAGGGAGGGGAAGATTTCTGTCATTATTTCTTCAAATAGGTTTTCAATATTTTGCTCTCTTTCTTCTTCTGGCATCCCTATAATTCGGATGTTGGTACGCTTGAAGTTGTCCCAGAGGCTCCTTACACTAACTTCATATTTTTGGATTATTTTTTCTTTTTGCTTTTCTGGTTGGGTGTTTTTTGCTTCTTCATATTTCAAAGCTTTGACTTGATTCTTGCGATCCTCTAGTCTGCTGTTGGATCTCTGTATATTATTCTTTATTTCAGTCAGTGTATGCTTAATTTCTAGTTGGTCCTTTTTCATATCTTCGAGGGTCTCACTAAATTTATTGGCGGTTTCTAGAAAATTCTTGAAAAACCTTCGAAGTGTGGTTTTGAACTCTATATCCAGTAGTTTATTTTCCCCCATTTCTGTCATTTGTTACTTGTTTCTTTGTCTCCACATTTTTTATGCTTCCCTGTGTTGATAGAGTGGCTTTGTGTGCTAGGTGTCCTGTAGTGCCCAGTGGCTCAACCTCCCCAATTACCTGAGGTGGACACTCTTGGTGTACCCCTTTGTGGGCTTTGTGCACAGTCTTGCTGTAGTTAAGCCTTGATTATTGTTGGTATCACTGGGAGGAATTGACCTCCAGGCCAATTGGCTGTGAGAATCAGCTGTGAGAATGTGGCTGTGAGAATCTACGGGAGACCTTCTGTGCTGGAGACACCCTTCTGGGGCAAGACTTGCTTCAGTGGGGCTTTGGTGCTCACTGAGTCTGTCCCTTATAGATCTGAGGAGTTGTAATCTGGATGGTCCCACTCTGACCACTAGGTGCACTGGCTCTTGGATCTCTAAGGAGGTGCTAATTTAGCCTCTGCCTGAGGCTACCCAGCAGGGGCTACTGAGAGATCTGCAGATTCCTCTTCCTTGTTTGGGGTTTGGAGGTGCCTGGAAGAGGCCCAGCTGTGAAGCAATGCAAGCTGCTGTGGGGCCTTGGGCCTTCTTTTGGATGTTCTGGGTCTCTCTGACCCAGCTGCATTTTGTTCGGTAATTTTAGATTGCAAAGGGCCAGCCCATTCATATGCAAAAGCCTCTGTGTACAGCTTGGGTGGGGCGGGGTCTCAGGGAGTCAACAGGGCAGAGCAAACAGCTATGGCTGATCCTCAGTCCTACTCTAAGAGGCCCCGTGTCTTAGTGTCCCTTGGTAATCGCTGCAAGCACCTCTGAGAGAAAGCCACCTGCGAGTTCTGACTGATGCCAGACAGTCCAGTTTCTCCCCGTATGAGTCTGGGTCCCCAGAGACTCACCGAACTGGAGTTCAGAGCAGTCAGGAGCGTGTGTCTCCTTCCCGATTGAAAAAGACAACCACGTCCTCAGTTGCCAGCCCTTTCTGCGTGCGCCTCCGTACCTCTGCACTTTACTTCCGCACCTCCTCTGAGTATCAGTGTGCTTTTTTCTTTCCTTCTAGTTGTAGACTTTCCACTCAGCCAGCCTTCCTGTGGTTCTGGATGATGTCCATTTTGTCTTTTAGTTGTAATTTTGAAGTGGTTGTGCGAGGCAGCAATTTCCAGTGTTTACCTATGCCGCCATCTTGGTTCCTCCTCTATTTTAATGAGTTTTGAAGGATGAAGAAGAACTGAGTAAGTAGACATCAAGGGAAAGACACTTCAGATAGAATGAACAGTATATGTGCAAAAATTAAAAAACCTGGACAGCTTAGGAAATTTCAAGCACTTCAGAATTGTTGAAGCAGCAAATACAAGGGAGAAAGGGGGAGATGAAGCTGGAAAGGTAGAAAAGGGCCAGAAGGTGGAGAGACTTGTGTGCCTGTCAACTGTTTTAGGTTTATCTGCAGGACCACAGTAGACCTCAAAAGGAAAATGATCACTGAATCCTCACTCAGATAAATGAAGCTATCTCTCTTCTTATAGATATAGAAACAGGTTTTGTCATTTGTCCAACATCACATAATTAGTAGGCTATGGGGAAGCAATGAAGTTATTTTTGTGTTTTGGTTTTTTAATCAAAGGAATCCCATGATTAGGTCTGTGTTTTAGAAAGAACAATCTGGTGGCAAGGAGAAATGGATTGAATGGAAGAGAATGGAGGCATAGAGAAGGTTGTCGGAACTTGGTTGCAATGGTCTGATATTGAGGCCTGAACTAGGCTGGTGTCATGGATATGGTGGAAAGGGAACCGAGAAATATGTTGGATTAGTGTTCATTTTCATAGCTATTATCTATTTCCCTTTTGGCATAATATTTTGAAAGATGATTAAATGATGCCTATTATTTGCTTGGAGAGGCTTGGATAAAAAGCTTACGTTCATAATTTGGAAAGTCAGGAACTCTCTACAACCAAGGGGTCCCCCTCACAGGGCAAATGAGACACACTGAGGCTGTTAGAGAACACATACCAAAAGAGTTTGCATACGCTAGTGTTTTCCTGGCCTTCCCATTTGTGACATGGTGCCGTTTATAGCTGTTTGCATTATTTCTACTGCTAAGGCAGAACCCCAGCTACATTTTAAGAACAGGCACATTTCTGATATTTTAAAACGTCTACCAAAGAACTTAACCCAACCCAAATAAAATGGCATAAAGGCTGAGGCAAATCCCACACTCTACTCATCCTACCTTCCAGCCTTAACAATTATGACAAAGGAAGCTTGCTGACACCTCCAACCCTTAAAAAAAACAAACATAGATGTATATGTTTTTATTGATTTTCAGAGAGAAAGGGAGAAAGAAGAATTAATTAGCTGCCTATTGTACGCCCTCTCCTGGGGAATGAGCCTGAAACCCAGGCATGTACCATGACCGGGAATGGAACCAGTGATCTCTTGAACCACACCAGCCGGGCCACCTCAATTCCATTTGCCTGGAAAAGCTCTCTCTTCCATTATCCCCCTTTATGGTGCAGCTCAGATCCACTTCTCCTGAGGCAAAGTCCTATATGCACTCCTTTCTGCTCCTATAATGCCCTCCACATCCTCTATTATAGCTTTTGTCATCTGTTTAATAATTACTTGATTACTTTCTCACCTGTACTAAGAGTTATTTAAGGCTAAATATTTAATTCTGCTCATTTATTTTCTCCAGTGCCAGGCAAGACACCTAACACATACATAAATGCTTGTTAAAGTAGCTTGCAGTCAGCACAGAAACTCATGATCAAAATCTTTAAGAAAATTCAGGACTTCACTTGGGGAGATGGCACTGGAGGTAAGCGCATCTAGGGTGAATGCTTCCCGGATGAGAAATTCAAACTGAAACACCATGGGCCCAGCTGGGTGAGCATGGCCAATGCCAGCAAAGACACCAACACTCCCAATTCTTTATCATGACAATCAAGCAGCCTGGCTGGATGGCAAGCACGTAGTGTTTGGCAGAGTTCTAGAGGGCGTGGAAGTGGTAAGCAAGATGGAAAGCACCGAGGCAAATCTTCAGGACAAGCCCCCTGAAGGATGTGATCATTGCAGACTGTGGCAAGATCGAGGTGGAAAAGCCCTTTGCCATTGTCAAGGTGGAGGGACCCCGTGACGTCCTCCTCTTGAGTGACTGTGTTTGGACCTGTTGCCCTTTCCTGGGGGTGAAGACAGCCCACCACCACAGGGCTCTGTGCTGCACCAGCCCTAGGGCTGACATCTGGCAGAGTGCACTCCTCCCCTCACATTCCACAGGCCCAGTTTTGTAACAAACTTCTACCAATGCAGACCATTTTTTTTTTTTTTTTTTTTTTAAAAAAGGGTTTTCTTTTTTTAAAAAAGAAAGAAAGAAAATTCAGCCCGGCCAATGTGACTCAGTGGTTGAGTGCTGACCAGCGCTGACCTATGAACCAGGAGGTCACGGTTCCATTCCCAGTAAGGGTACATGCCTGGGTTGTGGCTAGATCCCCAATAGGGGGCGTTCAGGAGGCAGCCAATCAATGATTCTCTCACATCTCTCTTTCCCTTTCCCTTCTTCTTTGTAATCAATAAAAGCATATTTAAAAAGAAAAAAGATAACTCAAATGAAAATTATTTTAAAAACATAAAAAACAAGTATTCAAAATAATCACATTATTTTTATAAAGTCAAATAATTCTATAAGACTTGTAATGAAAAACTATGACCTCCAACCTCACCCATCTTCAATCTCTAATCTCCTCCCCAACCTTTTAAAGCTA